GCAGACCAATTAACAATAAATCCGAAATGGCTTATTAAAGATGATAAATAATTGAAAAAAGCTTGTGAAGACACCGATTGGAATGAGTGGAACGTGAGTTTTCAGGTAGTTTTCAGCGAAAACTGGTTTTCGTTTGACAGATTTTACATAGACGAAAACACAAATTTTAGGTCGAAAACCAGTTTTAGCAACGAAAACATGTTTTCAATGTCGGTCAGAACATGGTATAAGGCACGAAAATACGTTGTTTGAGAATATTATATCATTCTTCTTTTAATCGCATTTTCTGGATGCAGTTGACCGTGCTTTTTGTAACAAAAGTGAAAAGTGTCACAAAACTCGATGCTAAGCAATCTATCTGAACGAATTTACTAGTTTTATGTGGAATTGAGATTCGAACCAAATTGTATGTTTTAGTCAGAGTTTCAAATATATTGCGCGAAAGAAAAGATACAAATTTAGATCATATCACGGTAAAAGTCAAAGTATTATAAAATGTTTGATTGTATTTTTGAAATCAATGACCCAAAGTTAGCCGGTATACAGATTTTTAGCTTCAGCGGTGAATATTTGTACCCAAAGGGTTAATTGCAGTTTAAAGTTTATTTGAGTAGTCCACTTGCAAACAGCGTTATGTGATTTTATAATAGAAAGCCATAAATTTGAAAAAACGACTACGACAACAAGTAACATTTAAATTGAATCTCTTATTATTACCTGAAAATTTGGATAAATAAGAGCCTTATAAAATTATAAGAAAACATAATATGTCAAAAGATAACATTAACAGTCTATACGGCCTAAAGCAGTTTTCTAAACTCATCAGAAGATGGATACTTTTGAAAGTTTATAAATAAGTATGATAGCGACTTTTGTAAGAAGACTTAACATTTGATGCTATTTTTTTCAGAAAATAAAAAGATTTTGCACTCTGTTGTTACTGGACATGAAACGACTTTAAATACTGGTACGTAATCTACCAAAAACTAAAAATCGAAAAAAATTTTACATCGCGCACTTTGCAAGTGGACTACTCATTTCAGAAATGTATTTCAAAGTGAGCGAAATTGTCTTTGACCTTTACTTGATACTGGGTAGCTTACTCGGCACGTTTAGCGAGGTTTTTCTGAGTTTGACTGCATGTTGGCTTTAATTATTTGTTTTTTGATAGTTCGATGCAGGTGGCATTGAACCGAAATATTTTAAGATGCAATATTTCTTTTCTCCTTCTTTTTTGTTTGGCGCAATATTTCTTTTCACGTAAGATAATTATTTTTACGTACCCAATGTATGTTTATTCTCCATTTGAATGAACTCGACTTTTAAATATAACTTTTGGAGATATCTCGAATATTGCGCCATATAGCGCATCTTTTATGATAGCTGGGTTGGAACCGCTTCGACCGATAGAGTTCAAAAGCGAAAAAAAATTAATTAATTTTTTCCTTTTTCCGACCTAAGTGTTTCAACGTTCTCGTGTCTTCATCATAGAGCCTTCTAATCATATGCTCTTACATATTTATCTTTAATATTAACAACAGCTGCATAAACGTTGTTCGTTTTGTCCAAAGTAAATTTTAAAGTTAATCGCATTTTGTAGTTGTTGTTGTCATCCTTTTGTTTTTCCTATACACAATAGACCCCAGTAAAAAAAACGAAATTTATTTGAGCTCAATTAGTTCAGAAGTTTTTCGCGTATATTGACTGCATTCAATGGACACACATGGAACTTAGCTTTTTTGCGTTGATCGCTCACTAAGAATAGCAAATTAATTTAAACGGAACCTTATTTTAAACTTACGTACTTTGAACCGTAACTTGGAATTGTGGTCATACAATTTTTTATGATAGCCGTAAGGTAATTGTAATTGCTTTCAGCATAAATTTTTAGTGCGAAATAAGAATCTGAATACAGATTCAGGTTAAGAAATATGTTCATTAGTAGTACACATGTATGCTAACGGTGAATCGGTAATGCACGTATGTAAATAATTTTGTATTTAAAGTACCTATTTGGGTTCGAAAGAGCCGAATTATTTATGTAAACTATGTCGATAAAACGCAAAAAAATTTAATTGAAAAACTTGGTAACAATTCCAAATATTAACCAGAATCATAAGCCATCCGCGATTGTCGACGCTTTAATATCAACAAATTTCAAATCACCCTAAAACAATAAAAAGTTCCAATTTCAAAAAATAAAACCTTATCGCACATCTACAGGCCAAAGTATTTTACTTCGACCCCTCATATTTGAAATTCGAAAGGACCGTGCAAGTCTAATGATTTTCACAAAAAATTCTTCTTGTGTTAAATATATAATTAGTTAGATCGGTATAAATTTTCGAAAAGGTGGAAAGCCTAATCAGAGATATTTTCAAACAAAAGCTTTCATAAATCCGTTTCGATATTTCATAAAGCTTGGGAACAAGTTAATTAAATTCGAATTTTAAAAACAGGTGTAAATCCGTTTTTAAAAGTATTTTAAAACTAAAATCTTCTTAAATCACTTTCGCCTAACATTGTGATACACATTTCAATAAAATGAAGAATATAGTTGAATTAAATTTTTCAAACGCATGACAATCCCCTTGATAAGCAATCCTGGATTGATATCCATATTTTAATAATTCATCTAACTTACTAAATAATTTGAGTGTAATTTTTTTAGCAGCTGGCAACCCTCTTCAAATATTATAAATGTTCAAACTAAATATTCCTTAACACTCTTTCATTATATAACTTGTATAAAAGTTAATTAAATTCGACTTCTCACACAAGTGGCAGCCCTCTTCTAAAGTATTTTAAAGCTAAAACCTTCCTAAACTGCTTTCGCCTGACATTGTGTTAAATATTTAATTAGCTGATGTATTAAGTTGAGTTTAATTCTTAAACATGTTCAAGCCCCTAATATAGTTTTTCCAAACCCATTTCGATTAAAACCCATATTTTAATGATTCATTTAACACTTTAAATATTCGAAATTTTAAAGAGTTGGTAACCCTATTCACTTAAAAAATATTTTTAGTGGTCAAACTAAACTTTTTCATTTGACATCAATATTTTAATATTTAATATACCCTGTGTATAAGTTAACTAAATTCGACGTTTAAAACCTTTTTCAAAATATTTTCGAACCAAAATCTTCGTCAATCTCTTTCGCCTGATACCCAAATTGTGATACATATTATAATTACGTAATTGCCTTAATATAAGTTGAGTTGGAAATTTTAAATTGGTGGCAACCGTCATAAATATATTCCAGAAATCAAACCCATTTCCAATGATCCTTTTTTTTTAATAAATCAATGAACTTATCAAATAGTTGAAGCTTCAATTAATTTGCATATAAGTTAACTGACTTCGACTTTTCAAACAGGTGGCAACCCTATTTCAACATGTCATTAATATCCTTAGTGCTAAACCTAAAGATTTCTTAACACTTATTTATTTGACATTTTTTAATAAAAGATAACTATATTTTACTTACCAAAGAGGTGGCGACCCTTTTAAAAAAATTTATAACTTACTACCTGCTTAAACTCTTTTCGTCTGATGCCCATAATATGGTGACACATATTTCCATAGATGGCACAGGGGTTTTGGAAATTTGACAAGTGGGTTTCATTGGGCATCTTTTATTGTAATTTGTACAAATTTTTAATTTCAAACAAGTTTTGCATTTTTGCAGAGGAATACCAAGCGGTACACTGATATCTGTATCCAAACTCGTTAGCACACGGCATCGCTTGATGTCACAAAGACCAGTAGCCCAGACAGCATACAAATATATTTATAAGCCCTAATAACCGCCAAAAAGACGTAAATGATATTTTTTTTCCCAAAATTCGATTTTTAATGCTGAAAGGCATCTAGATGCTCAAGGAACATTTCTACATCAAAAAGAAAATTTTGAAAAGAAAAATGTCGCTTACGTCTTTTTGGCGGTTAGGGCTCGATATGTTAGACCTCTATTTGGGAAATCGAAGTTCACCGAAATTTTACGGAAATACCGCATTTATCTTTTATAGATTCTTCTTTCTCATGTAACTAAAATTTTTTTTGCAGATAGGCTCCTCTGACCCTTTTGTCCTCATAGTATATGTTTTTTGTTATAGACTGACCTCTTTTTCTAAAAAAAAAATATTTAAATTAAATAATAGAAAATTAAATGGTCGAAACTCGCCAATATGTGGGGGTCATATAGTTATGATGCGTTCACACCTACATACATATATACATATCTACATATATAAAAAATTAGTTCAATAAACTTATAAGCCATATACACACTAGGGCGGAGTAATTTGGTTGGAGCAAAATTTTTAAAGAAAGTGTATAGCAGCAAATTCAACTTCTACGTTCGATTCTAAGCAAAAATGGCGAATAAACTAATTACCCAAAATGACGTTTTACTCTCCCATTTTTTAAAGAACAAGTAATTTTTAGCAAAAAATCGATTTCAATTCTCATATATAAAAAAAAATATTTATATATATCTCATGGGACCACCTCTGAGACACTACTTTTCCGATGCAAAAAGAATTATCGAAATCGGTTGACGTGTTGCAAAGTTATGCGGTAACACACATAAAAAAAAAAAATATTCCGACGAACTGATAACCTCCTCCTTTTGTGGAAGTCGGTTAAAAAATACTATTCATATTGTATGAAGAAAATACAAAATTTTGTAAATGAATAAGTAATTTTTAAATTTATATTCCGATGAATTAATAACATTTCTCCTTTTTATAAAGTCGGTTAAAATGATTTAAATTAAAATTTCATTAAGAAAAATTATAGTACACTGATTTTTCTTTTAAAAATTGGGAGGGTCAAACGTCATTTTCGATATATAGTTTGTTCACCATATTTGCTTAGAATCGAACGTAGAATTCGAGTAAGCCATACACTTTTTTCGAAATCACTCCGCCCTAATGTAACTACACATCAACATTTTTGAAGTATTAAAAAAAAACTTGTTTCTTTTTTTCTTTCAGACCTTCTCCACCCGCTACGTACACAGAAACGACAAGATAAAAAGATAATTCCACAACCTGCAATATCCTACCTATCAAAAAAACAAAAAAACATAAATAACAAAAAAACAATGCAGCCATTGCGATGCAGTTTAAGTATTCTCCTTGCGCTTGGTATTTGTCAGCTGTGTCTGGCGGTGCCTGCCTTGCGTGTCAAACGTCAACCAGATGACCTGCTCTCACTCGAAGCCGAGAGTGCGGCTGCAACCAACAGCGATTTGAATCCCATCAATGCAGAGGTAAAATGCGAAAAAATTGCAAAAAAACACAGTCGTTTGACTAAGAAGTCAAAACTCGTAAGAGGAAAATGCTCTTAAGTAATTCGTTATGCATCATTAACATGCAACAAACTTGCCTCGTGCTCGAACGCAGCGTGCAACAATAGCAACAGTTTGAAACTTGTTTTTCGGTTTTTTTTTTTGCTTTTTCTATTACTTTATTTTGATTGATTTTTATTTTCTTGTATGAATGCAAGAGTTTTATTTTTTTTTTGCTGGATGGCTTTTAGGCGTACTCGCTTTGTTGGCTGTTATTTGGGCAAATGTGTCAGCTTTGTTGGTGCTTTTGGTGCTTTTGTTGCATGGTAAAAGAAGGAAATGTTTGATTTACTGGAGTCTGTATAAATTTTGTATAAGCATATAATCCATGGAGTAAATAAGTTTATATGTACATACTTACATATATATGCATGTATGTATATAGCCAAACTCAATGTTCATTCGGCATTAATTTGCACTGCAGGAAGCAAACATTTTTTAATTTGCATTGTTATAGCGTATGGACTGCTGCTGTTCATTTGGATATGGTGTTTTTGTTAAAAGACTTTGCGAAAAGTATGCGAACGCCAATCAATTTGTTTCTTTCACTTTTCTGCTAAATTCAATAACTATTAACTCTTTGCTATAAAAAGCGATTGTAATTTTTTCCAATAGTAATTTTTGTGCACTAGATTTGTGTTTAAGTGTATGAAAGTAGGAAGTTACGGTTTGAGAGAGAGGGGATCGTGTATGCCGCTATCTGCACTTTTCTCAAAAATGAGATGCTGATATAAAAATCCACCGAAACGTTAACTGTCATCGGTGATATTAATGCTGACCTTATATAACGCTTCACAGAAGAATTTATTATTAAATTGCAAAGTAAAAATTAACATCAGTGATGGAAGGTAAGTCCCAGATGGGTTCTAACATCACAAAGTAGATTTTGTGGGAACTGTAGATAAAGAGCATTGAATATAAGCCCTCGATATGTTTTATAGGTTGTGAGTAAGTGAAGTTAGGAGAAGCCTGTTTCGAATCACTTCTCTGCAGTAAATTCTGCATCTTCAGTATAAGCAAAAACAGTTTGGTAAAATTATACTAGCAATATATATATATAAATTTTTTTTTTGGATTTTGATGGGTCTCATCGGTGGTTTATAAACTTTGGTGGGTGGACGTGCATTAAAAGATTAAGATATTTCGTCTGTTTCTGTTGCCGAAGTAGATAGAACCATTCCTATTAGCGAAGTTATTACCTTGGCGCAACAGCTGCAGATTCAACTGTCGAAATTTTTTTTGGTGGAGCTATTGCTGCTGATGAGATATCACTTAAGGACCATTTTTACCGTATCGGTTTAACACTAATTCGCCGTTAAACATCGTTATCGACGCACCCGACTCCTTGATTGGAATATTGAGTCGTTAACATCGACAACCATGTATAACGGGGGATTACTGTTAAATAGAGATGGGTTAAAACGACTCAAAGGATTTGTTAAAGATAACCGGTGCTTTGACTGCTTGTCAAATTCTTATAGCAGCCCGGCCATCAATTTTTAGTGGGCAGTCGAGAAAACGGTCCTAAGTGTGCTAAGGTTCAATGATAGCGTCGCTCTGTTGCCAAAATTGCTGCTCTTCGTTTAACCTAAACGTCGAAAACGTCGTTAATGATGTTTAGCTGGGTAGGTACCCTGCAGCAAATTTAACTAGTTTGAAAGTAATTTGCCTGCAACGAACTCATTTATTTAACATGGCGATGTCCTAGGAAGCAATCAGTTACCTTTTCCTGGATGTATTTTCAATTACTTTAAAATGAATTTGGCTTAAACAACTTCAAAGTCAGTATGTTTCGCTTGAATATGCTTTCGTTCTGCACTTCACAGATACTTTTTCGTAACTAAGAAAAACCGAAATTAAACATTTAAAATTAATTGACATTTGAACATGGACATTCTTGGCTGCGACCAATTTTAGCAAACAACTTTGCACGCTCAGCTACAACCAGACATGTAAATGTGCTTTTAAATGTTCAGTTTGAATTGGGTGTAAGCAGCAAGTCGACTGCCCGACTCTGCATTTAATTTCAACTACTTTAAAGTGAATTTTGTTTACACAACTTCAAAGTCAGTATGTTTTTTTTTGAATGCGCTTGCGTTCTGGACTTCACAGATGCTTTTTCTTATTTTCAAGAAAAAAACTGTTTTTTTGAGCAAAAATAGTATACAAGACATTTACTAATTGCATTTGTTTTAAAGTAGTACTTCAATTAGTTGATTTAAAAAAAGTCACTTGTTTCCATCAGGGTAGTGATAACCAGACATTGAACAGCCCGCCCTCACAGTATTTATATATTGTTGACCAGATATCACCTGACGAAGACGAAAGGAACACATACGTCTTCGGTCAAATGAAGTCATCATCTTCGTACTCGGATCCAACATCAGCCAAAAAACTTAAGTTCGTAAATGGCTCGACTTCTTCATCATACATTGAAGACAGAATGAAACTGCTTTCTTTTCATCTTCCTCAGTAGACTCTTCCATTTCGAAAAAATAACAGTAATACAGTAATAATACTAAGCAACTAGGTAATAATATTAAGTAAAACATATACCTTTACAATTTAAAAAGCAAGAAATTGGTGTTATCCAATTTTGCAACAAAAATTTTATTTGGCTTATTTATTCTCAATAACTGAAACAGAGAAGAAACATCATAGCAAACAGTATTATCACTTACATTACCACTTATTTTTGTAATTTGTAAAGTAACAAATTTTCAAAACAAATTATGCTCCACTTTTCGCTCTGTGCTTCACTTTCAGCAGCGCAGTTTTCCTCGATCATCTCATTTACTGTAAGGAGTTATTGCAAACATCGATTGTAAGTTAATTTGCTTTAGTGGTTAGTAGGGTATTCGATTATTCGCCTTTTTCCCAAAACCAGGTTTCGAGTTATTCGAAAAATTGCAATTAGAAAAAACTGGATGCCAATTTTACAACAAATTACAACAAAGCTATAACAGTAAAGTTAGCTTTCATTTAGAAAAGAACAAAGCAAAATAAGTCTTTTTTTAGATCAGAAGTAAAAAAAAAAAAATAAAAATCAGCTCAGTCTTATTTTAACTTATTTTTTTTTTTAATACTTTATGCATTTTTTTCTTTTTTATTGGTTTTAAGTAGTGCTCTTTCCGCCGTAGCCGAGCGCTTAGACGTGCCTACTGCCACTCCGGAGGTCCATGGTTCAATTTCTGGCCACAGAAACATCAAACAACGTTTTTTCAAATAGCGGTCGCCTTCAAAACTTCGAAAAACACAAAACTTGAGAGGCCAAAATTTGCGTGAAATAAAAAAAAACCGTAAAATCAAGAGTTCATAAAAATTGCCTATAGATATCAAAAAAAAAATTGGGAAAGCCGGTTTTGAAAAACCGTAGTTAGTGATTTATCGCAGTATTTGTATTTCTGTAAATTACTGTTAAATGGAGATTATTCTTTGATTTCAAAGAGGCCGTTTCTGATAAAAAATATTGTGAAAAAACAACAACAGTTTATAAATGGTAGAATAACTTTTGCTATTCGGGGATCGCCACATCTCCTGATCAGACTTCTCCATCGAGTTCACTGGGAGTCGATGCAGTGACTCCAGCTGGACAAAGTCAGTGGTCTACGTACTGACCTAAGTTCGCCTTTTAACTGTTGTTGCCTTTTGCCACTTTTTCACATATCAACCCAACCACAATTAAAAGCCTACTACTCTGCTATTATTTAGACTTGATCAAGTGGTTATTGATTTTTTTTAACAGATTCTAAGACTTTCGGTTCATCATTTTATTTTTAATTTTTTCCAGATTTATCGAGAATGATTTCGAGACTTTTCCCGGTTTTTTTTTTAATGAAATTTGGCGACTTTTTTGAATCTTCCGTTTTTCGGGACTGTTATTGACTTTCTGGGATATTTGATCGACTTTTCGTGATTTTGGTTATGCAGTATTTTAGGAAAAACTTTTGTTGAGGGTTACACGCATACATGTGCATACATTCAAAACGATTTTTAAATATATACTATCTAATAAAAAGCTTATCGCTTAAAATATTTCTTGAGTCATATTTATTTCATAAACATTTTAATATTTCCCAAAATCTAAATTTTTTGACATGCTCATAAAGTATTCGATTTTAGCTAACTGTTCACATGAAAGTCACGTACCTACATACATATTTATGGTCAAATACATATATGCACATATGCACATTCCACTGTAAAGTAAATCATTGAATCACACATGAAAATCAATCATAAAAGTCATTAACACTTGTTGGACAAACACACATACATACATACATACATATAAGGCAATAACAATCAAAATAAATATGCGCTAATCAAATATACATACATACATATGTATGGCCAACCGAAAAGAGCAGAATAGAGTATGAAAATATGTTGTATAAAAACAACAAAAAAAAAAACATAATAATGGGCACGCACGACCTTGACGGCTACCTAATATTAAAAAAAAAAAATTAAAAAAAGACAAAAGTAAAAATAACTGAAAAAACGACATGAATTCGAATTTAAATTTTTAATTTAGCATTGAAAAAACTAACATATTTCTCACACCAACTAATGAACTGGTAACAAAGCAGTTATAAAGTAAAGCGAATACCCGACGTTTGTGTGCTGAAGCGACCATCGCTGTCTGCAAATAGCGCAACCGCCACAAAAAGCGACCTATGTCAACAAAACCGGAAAATGAAAGCGAAAAAGTAAGGAGCTGTATAAAATGGAAAGTGCAACAAAGAGAGGCTTACATATGGCTATGCAAAAGAAGTGGAAGAGAGGCAAATGAGGAGTTGTATGCGTCGAGTGAATGTGGTATCGCAAGAGCGAGTAACAAACTACCTGAACAACAACTCAAAGTCTTTTTGTAGGCGGTTTATATGAAAATATGCACAATACTAAAAACAAGTGATTACACAAATATTATAAAAGATATTATGCAATTTTTTTTGCGATGACGCGCCGGCGCTATCACATACACACATGCACGCATATAAACACCTACACAAGCGAAAAGTGACAAAAACGCTGGTCGCCAATTGTGGTTAAGTTTATTGAAAGTAAATACGCATGCGAATAAACGAGATGACAGCGAAACGACGTAAAAAATAAAAACCTAAAAAGTACTGGAATAATCGTGCCAAAAAAAGGAGGGCAACTGTGAAAATTTGCAGATATTTAAATACCTTCATATTTATGCAGTTTTTTTTTATTAATTATTTGCATAGATTTTCATTCATTTAGTCATATATAAACTTAATTGGGTTGTTTTCATGCAAATACCTACATGCCAGAATCAGTAAAATTTTTTAAGCACTCGAATGTTTGTAGCTGTTGCGTATACGCACCGGAGTGCCCTTCATATTTTGGCCTAGCGTCATTTGCAGTGCATTCACTTTAGTCATATTCCTATGTACATTTTAAATTTCAAGTAATTGGGCAATAAGTGACCAATAATAAACATTCCACGCTATAAAGCCAACATTTATTCACAGCCGAAGCATTGATCGTTAAAGTCGAATGTAAGTGCTGAAAGCAAAGCCTAAGCAATAAAAAAATTACTCATCAGTCGTAGTTTAGCAACAATTAAAACTAGTTAAGTCTGTTTAAAAATTTTTGACATTCCCCTCTACACTTAATGAGTTAGGTTTGTGAGTGGCTGTTAAAAAAAAAAAAGACAATAAACCCACAATTAAACCACACACATTTTAAGCGCTCTTTGGATTGCAGACATATTCAAGTGCCGTTTAGTGCGTAGCGGTATTCTTAGTATTCTTAAAAAAAATCTGTTACTTATGCATAGTCACTAATTGTTGTATATTTGCATAATTGTCGACGCTGCGTTGTAGTTTTGTGCTTTTGTTTTGGTTTGTTTTCTGCTTGAATTCCAATTAAGTTTTTTATGCTCACTGAATGTAAGTTTTAAGGTAATTTGTGATTTACTCGCCTAAGGGTGTGTTGTTGTATCTATTCTAATGCTTAAAATGAAATTTCAGAACAAAAGCTAAGCTTCATATGCTCCCAAAAAATATTCGTAATGATTTCCGGTGTATGAACTTGAAAAAACAGATTAATTATTCTTATTCTTCATAAATGTATTTATTTATTTTTTGCCCGCCGGCGTCTAAGCTTTTGCGCCATAAATAAACAAAATAAAAAATAAAAATAAAAGGACGGACATGGCGAGAGGTCTGCAGAGGTTGGCTTTCATTTGTAAGAAGAGTGCTTTCAAATGACCCTCAAAAAGAGAGGGTTTTAATTTTTTTCCTTTTTTGACCTAAAAATAGTATGCAGTGAACTTTTTTAAAAAGTTTTGACCACCAATACTGATGCTCTTGCGTCAAGGCATCCATTAAAATCGTCGCAGGAACCGAAAAACCTTAAAACAGGATTGAATTTGTTTCCCTAGCTATATAAAAAATTCTAAAATATCTTATTAAAAAGTTGAAAATTTTTATGAAAATTTGCTAAGTTTTGCACAAAGTTTAGGAATTATATTTTTATATTTTTTGTTGTTGAATGAACCACATTTTTATACAAAATTGGCGGAAAAATATTGGAATAAAAATCGTTGCATATGTATATTGTGGAAAATTTGCTGTGCCAATACTTTGTTTCGGCAGTGTATATTTTTTTCCAAAACTTAAACTTTTTCGACTTTTTTGAAAAAATATATTTTTTTCGGATTTTTTTTTTTTTAGGAACCCAAGAACTAATGAGCGTTGCACTGTGTAATATTACTATTAACCCTTCAATTTCAAGTTCAATGCCTTTAGTGGACTTTGTAATCGATATTTGCAAATCACTAAAAGCTAGCATTCATAAAAAAAATTTATTATGGCACAGTGGGTTGGTCTGTGGTAAAATATATTTAGTGGCATTTGAAATATTTAGATATGACATTTGACTTGTTTTGTTAACAATTATGTTTTTGCTTTATTAGCAGTTTCATTCACATCTTACTTTTTTTGTTGCTTATGCATTTATTAAAACTTAAACTGGGTCAAGTCGAACGCGAATGGCGCGCATTTGATTTGACATGAATCTAAGCGAAATACAAAAAGTTAGCTTACTTTAAAAAAAGCGAATGAAATAAAAAATCGTATGTATTGATGTATTTTATATTCATATGTATCTACATATATGTATATATGTATGTACATAAGTTGCATATATGTATACATATTAAAACATGCGAACAATAAAAAACCTATATATTTTTTTTTTTTTTTTTTGAATAAAAGCGAACTTGAAACCGGACTTTTCAATTGCTCTTGGAGGTAACACTTAGTGTGACATAGTCCAACAATAAATCGGTCAGCGAGGTAACCACTCAGTGATTTGGTCGCTTAACGGGTACTTCTTATCTATCAAAGCTTAAGAGCCAATGCTGGCTAGTTGGTTTAGCAGCAATTAACACCATTGAGACGAACTTTGAACTGAGCGCTTATTTCGAGTTAAAACTTTGAAACTAACGAAAAACAAATGCATACTAGATGCTTTTGTATGCAGCTTTGAATCATAATTACTAACATCACTTAGCGAAATATTTTTTAAGCGACTTTGCATTGATTAATACATATTACGCAAAAATTTGCAAAATTGCGCTTCGACCTTAATCGTTTAATACTTGGCTAGGTCAATTTGCACTAGCTGTTGCATTTTTTAATAACGTTTAATTAATAAAAAGTAATTGCTGTGCCACTTGACGTTTTGTTCGCATTTCGTATAAGGATGTATATGTACTCGTATGTGTTTAGCGAATTTCGAAAAATTATTTTGCACTTTGGAGAAATTTTTCATAAAATATGCACTTTTAATACACTGAAAAAAAAACAGGCATGTGAGTTCGATGCAATGCAACTTATATTTTTGACCTAATTTTTTTTTTTCAATTCATCAAAAATAATTCAGCTAATAATTTTATTACCAATTTGCAGGCAGTTTCAGGTGATGAACTTGAGCGCAACAAAAGAAAATTGCCCGAAGCAACATTCGAGGCGAAAAACGCTGTGCTGGGATTCGTGTTTGGTGTAAGCTTTTCTTTCAAAACAAAATATTTTTTAATAGTTTTGAATATCTAAAATTGTTAAAACTCTTTGTTCTTTTACGCACAGAAAATCGACAACTTCCTCGACACGAAAACGCGCGTCATCGAGCAACTGGATCGCGCCAATATCGAGAAGAACAAGCAGTGGGACATTAGGCCGCCAGTACCAATAAATGATTTGCAAACTCTCGTCACCGCTGTTGTTTCGCCTAAGATTCGTGCACTTGGCAATATTGCGAACGACCTAACCACTGGCGTATTGACCACCATTACCGCCTTCAGCGGCTCATCATCAGGCAATGGCAGTGCGAATCCAAATGCTGGCTTAGGTAATATTGTTTCGAAATTCCTGGGCTTCTCTGGTCCCATACTGCAAGGATCAGCAGCTGGACCGGCTGGTGGTGGCACAACACCAGCGCCAGATACCGATGAAGCGGGCTATTAAGCGGAAGAAGGGCTGCAAGAGGTTGCTGTGATGTTAATTACACATATACATATACAAACGCAAAATATTGTTAGATGCGCGCCACCCACTATCCAATACACCCATATTCACATACATACACACGTACATATTTGAGAAGGTACTTTCATAGAAGAACATACATACATACATATGCACATGTACAAAGAGGCATGACACGCGCGTACACGTACCCCCCCAAAACAATGTCGGAATTTGACACATTTTCCAAAATGAAAGCTAAACAATCGCGAAATTTCACACATTTAGCTTAACTGAGAGATAAATATTTTTCTAAAAAATATGTAGATAGATGTAGAATTTTATACAAAAAAAAAAAAAATTTTACCACTTTACTACTATGCAACATGTTTGTACTATTTTATGCTCGAGACGACAATTTGTTTTATTCTTACACTTTTATTTTTTGGTATTTGTAAATAAAATATTTACTAAGCTAAACTCAGAAGTAAATCTATTTTTATAATGTAAACAGAAAAATTGTATGCATATTTTGCAATAACGAATCTTCTATACGCAAATTGTTATTTGTTTTTATGTTTATTTTATGTTTAGTTTAAATATTTTTTATATAACTCATTGCACTCGATTTTAAAATTATATCATTAACTTGTGTAAATATTGTACAGGACTTGAATAAATCATTCGATATACGATTTGGTTTTCAGAAGGATGTTGTTCTTATTAATAATCCAATGTAGTGTGGCGTGGTTTACCCCTAATCCTATCATCATGCACTTGTAAGATATATTTTTGAGTTTAATGCCTCAAAATATTTTTAAAAAGCGGATTTTAGATAAATTCCTTCCTCTTTGAGCCAAAAATAATTGTGAGCTGGTGGTTTTGCACGTACATTTGGTTTCAAGCTCACTTAGTATGGTCTGTCATACGTACGGTGACCATCTGCATTCTGCATTGTACCGGACAGTCCTCTTTTTTCGTCAATTGTCCTGGTAATTTACTTATTTTATTCCTATAAACCAATTTTAAGTGATGTTTTTAAGTTTTAATTTTGATTAGGAAATCTTGGTAATAGTCAGTATGATTAGAAACTAGATCATAATGAGCATTGTTCAAATTAAAAAAAAAAAAAAAAAAAAACTTACGAAATTTTACTAGTAGCTTTTTAAACATTTTTCATGTTTCCACGCATTTCAAGTTGAATATTCTATGTGGATGAAGGCATATTGAATAGAATGCAGCAGTAGAGCAGCGGACTTGAATATTTTCGTGCATTTCCTCATTAAATTATCACTTTTTATATTTTAGTATTAATATTAATATTTTATTTTAATATTTTACTCTAATATGTCAAATTTTGGTGCCTTTACCTGTCCAATAAGATTTTAAAAAATTAGAAGGAAATTTTTTTGAAGAGAGGAATTGTAGCCCTCCAAAGGTCCGCTTTGCCATACAGCTCATTTCGGATGCTCTTCAATGCATTGTTCTTAGCCAAATCGCTCAAAGTTGTTAGATCTGTTACTTCCTCAATTTCTGATAGTGGACATCGTAAGGCGATTTGCAAGCCAATCTTCCTTCTTAGAAAAGAAAACCTTTTTTTTAACTTCGGTAGAAAGTATCGGCTCAATTCGCTAGACATTCGCTTTAGTAGGTTCGGTTCTAGATCCAGTTGCTTCTGTTTGAATGTTTCAACGTACAAATGACCACATCACTTAAGAAATGCTGAAAGAAGATTTCTTAAGAGCTCAAGGGGATATGCATGGACATTAGAGTGGTCCAAGTTTTGTATGGGAAAAAAAATTTCATCCTAGAAAACTCCCTTATGTTTTTCCTTTTGATATTTGTAATATCTATACCAAATTTCAGTTTTCTACTGCAACTAATATAGGGTGCTCAATGACCTTGAAATGCGCTACTGGATCGCTGTGAAACTGTTAAAAATATTAGTGATTTTTATAAAAAGCTACTGTTGCCATGACGACTGCAGCTTGTGATATTTTCATAGATAATTTAAATTTGAAATGTTCTTAGGTTACCTAACCAAATGTTTGATTAATATATGTACACAATACTTTTAGAGTAAAATATGAAAGTCAGGAGCCTTAGAAACGGAAGGTTTGGTACTAGCACCACCAAAACCCTATCTGGGAAAAAATTTTGTTGGACCACTCTGTGTTCGTGTGGAAAAGTAGCTTATGTCGGGAAGCTGGCTTTAGTATAATGCGGCATTAAATTTATTATTGAAACGACAAGGATTTTTTTGATGGGACTTAATAAGAATATTGACTTGCTGGTATCGGAACTATTTCTTTCACGTTTATTTGCCAAAAGTTTCTCAACGGCTAGGCGCCAGTATGCTGCGAATGCCGCATTATACTAAAGCCAGCCTTTCGAAATAAGCTACTGTTCCATATGAACACAGATATGTTACGAAAAAAAGTTTTCTTTGAAAGCAACTTCTAAGAAGTTAATAAAAATGTAAAACAAAAGTTGTTATTACAGAAAAATAATAGAATTTTAAGTGGAAAACTTTACCCACCACAAAAAAACTAGGATGTGGTGGAACAAATTCCTTTCGGAATTTTACTTTCACGAATGGATACTAACATTTGGGCATAGTGTGGTTGAGGCCCGAAAATTGCTGTGCCCCTGAGTTAGAAATATTTTGACCATCTTTGTTTTCAAGATAGCTGCGAGCCCAAAGCTCCTTGGTCCCGTAAACCAAACTTAACATTAATTGGGTCTTGGTACCTAGCATTCAAAACTAATAGACCACCGCTAAAAAAACGACTGGTTAGGAATTTTCTCACTAACATATTTGTTAAAAAAAATTATTCCTATGTAAATTAAGGCCCTTTGTTAATTTATCTCTTACTTATAATGAGGCAGATGTAGGCAGAAAAAGGGGTTTAGTATTGATGCCAAAGCTTTAAAGAATCATCAGTAATAAAAACCTAGCAGGCGCAAGAGGTGGCAAGCACTGTATATTACTTTCTTTATTCATAATTACAATAATAGTGAGTTTTTCTTCAGTGTGATATTGTCATAAACCAAACAAACTTACCTGAACTTTTAATGTCACCCAACACGGTATAGTATGCCCTTTTATATAACGTAAATACAAGTTTAAAACTACAGTTCCAATCACTTATTAAAGGTTCAAAACCTTTATATATCATATTCATATAAATTTTATGGCTTGATTCTCAAGCTAATTACTTGCAAATTTAATTCTATTCGACTTATTTTTAGTAAGTCATATATTAATGGTATGTAGGAAGCAATCCGTGTACGTTTTTTTAAAATTAATTTCCACCTTGAAAATCTTCGACAGTGTGAATTAATCCACTCATTTCCCACTGTGCGGCGTGTGAAGATTTTACTACCATAGCCTAGTTTACTGTATAAGGGGATAATTGATCAAAATATATCTAGATTTTCATCCATTTCATAACAAAATTTCGTATAAAAAAGGGAGGCAGAATAGAAGTGGGAGGTGGATGTATATTTTCGAAGGTGGAATTTTTTCCAGATTACAAAACTCTTTCCATTGGATAAAGATGATAATAAGAGTCAAAGCACAAACAAATTCTGATTAGATGGGAAGGCTAATTTTATATCTTATTTGCAATTTAGCGCAGAATTTGTTAGTTTTTAAGACATTTTTAATATTTTGTATTTTTAGTGCATTGAAAAAAATTTATAAATTAAATAATTTAAATTTGTAGCCCATTTTGCAGTTCGAGAGAAAGTGAGACAGTTAAAATGTTCGCAAACTTTTTTTATTTTAGAGCGCGGTTACCCACGAACGTGTATGTGGCGTAGCGTAGAAGTGCGTAGAAACTTAGCAAGTTTGTTATTGATAGAGACCGCGAGAGAAGTAACGTCTACGTCACGGTCATGCGGTGGCGAGGTTTTGTTAACACGCAGATCCCATAAGATAGATCGTATCAGCTGGCACGTTCTCCGTTTTTACGTTCGTGGGTAACTGCGCTTTTAAAATCATTGAAAATTTGTAATTTGGATTAAATAAATAGTACATAATTAGCTTTATCTTCTGCGATTCAAACAACTACATCATTCTTATTTTTACTTTTATGTATTTTCAGAGCTATCAATTCTCACATCTGCCAAATAGTCGTCTCATACGACCAGCACGCGCCACTGGCAGCAGCAATAACAAATATGACGATGTGCCCGAGTTCGATAGAAAGCAAGTGTCTTTGGATTTCCCCGATGAGCTTTTTAACAAATCGTTTGCAACTTTGACGAACATTTCCAAGTCTTTTTCGCGGCTTATTATGGTAAGTTATCCACCGTATCCACGTACCTATGTATGCACAAATCAGGGATGTTGCGAATATTTGCATTCGTATTCGTTATGCGAATGATTCACATCATTTTACACATTCGAATTCGACATTCGCATTCGCATCAAATGATACGAATGTTTTGCGAATGCGAATGTGTACATAGGCAGAGAGTTTACTCTAATATTGTTGAAATGGCTTAGCTTCAGGCGCTAAACGGTTAAGTAGTATATCAGGCAACATTGATGGGCCTTAAACAAGTATTTTAGATAGGTCCAGCGAAAGCGAAGGCTCGGATGTAGAATCTGGTATTGATTATAGCTTTTTTTTTAATGTTATTCCTAACATTCGCGTTCGGACATTCGCATTCCGAAAATTCGCATTCGCATTCGTGAATGTGAAAAATATGACATTCGAACCATCCCTGGTACATATGTTTGCATTCATGTAGACAAATACATACATATACAAATCTGCTAGCATGCTATAAGTGGCAATAAAAACGAAAGCTTTTTTCTTGTTTTCGTTAAATTGAAGCTATAACTTGCATGTAATGTAATTAAAGCTTTTGAGTAAAGTTCGACTTCGCTTTAGTCTTACATATATATGTATGTACTCACATTATGAAAGCTCTAAAAAGCTGAGTTGGTTAACTGTTAAATTTAAACTTTGATAAATAACTTCCAGTACCAAATTTCAAGCTTATTTTTTTCTAATCAATTTACATTCTTTAATTCTTCATTTCAGAACTCTGCGCGTCGTTACTCACGTTTTGTTTTGTTCTTTAAACCCGTCTTTGGCGATGCTTTGGTCGTCAAAGGCTGGGAAGATCCAACGACGACAACAACAACACCAAAATCAACAACAACAACAACTGCAACTTCATCTAATTCGTTTGATAAGCAAAATGAAGTATAATTTTTAATTTGATTTCAAGTATTTATCTTAAGTAATCATTTATTTTAAATTAACTTTAGCACCACGAACTTAGTTTTATTTCATACACAACAAATTTGAATTGAATTC